AAGATTAAACAAGACTGGGGACGAAGGATTCCACGAAAAAACAAATTAGTTCCAAAAGTTACCGCTAGGGGAATATTTGGCGCTGTGTAATAGAAAATAGAGTGTTAACAAATGCAAATTAATACGGAATAAAATTACCTTTTATTATGCACATTTTCTGATTTAGTTCAAGTGCAATATGGCAACACTTTTAAAAAAGCGTAAAATCTACATATACACCTATAAAGTCTTGTGATCTGCAATATCACGTACGCTGAGCAGAAGAAGAAATTCTTTATTCAAATTTCACGTTACATCCATTCGCACAGTGCCAGCTGCTTGGGTTTTAAAAGGCAACGGATTGGAAGTTTATGTGCAATGTGTCCTTCTTTAATCGAGCTTGCGATACTGGTCAAAGTTTTTTACCACAACCAGTGCAACGCATCAGCCGCTCTTTCGTGCTTTTAGAAACTCGCACAAAAAAAATGCGTAAAGGTAACGGTCCTGTGACAGTTAATTGGCTAAAAGCAATGGTTGCGACGTTTGAGAAAAAGAAAACAGTTCTCTGAAGGTTCAGTCAGGCAGAGGACGAAATACCTTGTACCACAGGATACAATCGAAGCAGTTTGCCACGGCGATTGTCGACAGAGGACCAGAACAATATTGCTGCCACCTCTAGTACGTTCGTGAAGTAACTCGGAATATGGATATGCCTTTACAGTTCGGTATGGAAAATCTTACGAAAGATTATCCAACTTCTTATCCGTACAAGATCAGCCGTGTACAGGAGTTACTGTACCCCGACCATGATAAGCGATTGACTTTTGCTCTCACCTTTCTTGCCAGAATGGAGGTGAATGATGCTTGGCCGTGGAAAATCTTATGGGGAGACGAGGCCCACTTTTACCTGAATGGAGCTGTGGATACCCAGAACTGCCGAATTTGGGATGACAAATCACCACATGCAGTCACAGCAATTCCCTTACATTCACCAAAGGTAACTGTTTGGTGTGGGTTCACAGCGGAATTTATCGTAGGCCCATTCTTCTATGGGGGAAATCATTTTCATGCAAGATGAAGCCCCTCCACACGTTGCTGTACGGGTGCAACAGATGCTAGGACAGAAATTCACAACAGAAAGAGTCATTAGCCGCTACTTTCCAACTGCATGGCCACCTCGGTTGCCTGATCTTACCCATGCGACTTCTGGCTATGGGGTTACCTTAAGTCCAAGACCTGACTACGTTGAAGGATAACATATCACGCACTGTACGGGAGATTCCTGCAGACATGTTACTTTCTGCTGTTGTGCATACTGTGCACAGAATGCAATATGTGGTCCACAACAACGGCAGCCACATTGAACCTCATTTGAATGCAAAATAAAAGGTAATTTCCGTATTGATTGGCATTTGTTAACACTCTATTTTCTATTACACAGCGCCAAATATTCCTCTAGCGATGACTTTTGGAACTAATTTGTATTTTCGCGGAATCCTTCATCTCCCGTCTTGTTTAATCTTCCTACAAAATGTGACGTCATTCTCGCAAATAGATCGCGCTACAGAACACTGTGAACACTGCCAGTTTAATTATGGCCACCCGGTATATAATTTTTTTGTACTGTGCATTGCGTATAAACTATGTACTTGCATGATGCAAAACCTTTAACATAAGTAACGGGTACTATATGCATATCAATTTTTTACATATCATTTAAACGCATCCCCGTATTGCATTATGCAGAGCGCATTATGTATAATGAATTTTAATGGTCTCTGTTTACATGTGATAATATGTTTTATTTTTCTCTCTTTGTGTTAATTTTTTTGTGTATAATTTGTGCTTTTTGTGTTCCATGTTATATTTTAATTAATTTTAATGTGTTTTATGTAACTGCTGTTTGTAATTTATATATATATATATATATATATATATATATATATATATAAATTACAAACAGCAGTTTATATATATATATATATATAACATACGTTACTACGTTCCCACACAATGTCTTGCATCAGTTATAGCCCCTGTATGGCCATGTAACAAATTTATTTAAGATCCAAATAAACTCCCGGTGCAGCCTCCTGGGGCTCCAGGAAGTTGTCGTCTCTAGGTAGTGGAGGGCGCGAGACATACGCCTGTTTACCTACGTTAAACACCAGGCTTCCACGTCCTCTATCACCTGAACCTGTATTGCTGCAAAAGAAGCACTTTGCGTTGATTTTGTACATAAACACATTTTCCTCTCGTGTCGTTTTTTTGCGTTCCTGCCTTAACGCGTCACTTTAGACCCTACTTCCTATACAAAAAATGCATGATTTTTAGTATACTCCACCACCCCTCCAAGTTTGTCCCATGATCTCTGAAACACCCTGTATAAAATTATGCACACTTAATGCATGCATTATATATGTGTGTGTATGTGTATAACACATATTTTAATGCATTATTTATTTATGACTCTAAAAATAAATAAATAAAATAATCTTGCATTGTATGTATTTAAAACTTTACGTTATGGGCGTGTATTTAAAACTTTACCTCAGGTGAAAATATATATAGGCACGGCTGTGCTTTCTACCTATTCTGTAAATGTACTGATAGTATTTAAAAATATTTTTTCATGCATTTAATTCTGTTAATTTATATTTTTTACTGTTGCGCATTTGTGTGCACAAAGTTATGTTTCTTTCTTTTCTGAGAAAGTTTTATCTGCATTTAAATTTTATGTATGTGCTTAATTTTGTATATTCATATTTTGTATAATTAATTAAAGTAGCATCTGTGCACAGTTCATGATTTCATATTTTTCATGTTTGAAATTATTTAGTTACCTTTCAAGATTTTGTTTATTATGGAATACACGAAATAAATGTTGTTTCACGTGTTTTAAAATTCAGTGTTCTAAAATTTTGAAGAAAAAAAAAAAAAAAAAAAAAAACTATGTTGATATGAAAAGTTGCGAGATCAAAATAAAGCAGTTGAAAGAAAATACCTAAATTTGGAAGGGTAGTTGTTTCATGCTTCACTATCACAAACGTATACTTACTGCCAATGCGTGCCTAAAATAATGCTTTTAATAATAAAGCCCCTATAAAATTTCCTTTATTCAAGGTAATGTTAAAAAAGTGAAATTAATTGTAAGTTATGTAATTACTATTATGAATTGTGCAACTGTAATCTAAATTATATGAGAATGGTGTCCTGCGTCATCTCATTCTGCAGCTGCTGTAAACGAGCCTCTGGTTCGACTAAACTTTTAGACTGCCCAGCTTGTCGTCCTAAATGATTGCAAACATGCTCAATCTGTGACAAATCTAGAGATCAGGCAGGTCAGAAAAGAATGGGAATGTGCCTGTAATACTCCTACTGTATATGGCCGAGCATTTTCCTCTTAAAAATGCCTCCTGGGAGTCTTTTCATGAGTGGAACACATGTGACAGAAGGATGTCATGAACGTATGGCTCGGCTTCCCTAATTCTATAGATTAATATTAGACGTGTCTGTGTGTCGTATGCATAGACTCCATACATCTCACCAGCTGTGGGACCGGTGTGCCGTTATAAAGCGAAGATGGGATTGAGGCACTCACCATGAGGCCTCCACATAAGTATACAGTTGTCATCCCCGCTCAACTTAATCTTCATTCATCACTGAAGACGACTTGGTTCCATTCGGTTGCGATCCAGTCCAGTCGAAATTGACGCCACTTCAGACGGAGGCTATGGTGAGTATATGCCATTGACAGCACAAATGTCGCGATACCAAATGTACATTCATTCAGGCGTCATACGCCTGGCCACCGAGTATAAGACCTCTCATCCGCTGTTCCCAAAATTCGCTTCAAAGTAAAGTCAGTAGGGCTTAGGCTGCGAGTTACTCGCTGAGTTAACCATCTGGCGTCCATCGTCCCAATTCTTCCCTTCTCGAACTCTGACAGCTAATCAATCATGCTTTCTTCGATGGTGGTGTAACGGCATTCCTAATGCAAAAGCGTGCATCTGCAATAGATTAAGTACGGACAAAATGTCTCTGCGCATCTTTTGTATAAGCCATGGAGAACAAAGTTTAACGTCCTCTAGTATCAATGAAACACTATATACTTCACTAACTTGTTTGCTATTATTTAAAACCTAGAAAGAGCATCGTTGATCATAAATACTTGCAAATAGTTATAAATTACCCAATTGGTTTTCAAAGATAATGAATCCCTTTTATCCTTCCTATATCTTTAAGAGATTAAAGTTTCATTTGAAAAGGACAGAAATATTTCTTTTCAGTGAAATTATCTCAGTGAGATGCATTTACTATAAGATGCAAAATACCATATATAAGTACTCTAATTTACGTTGGTAAACATTTCTGTATTTAATTATAAACTAATGTTTAATATTTTCTTTGTCGTGTTTTCTTGTTATATATACTTAACTATTTTAAAAATAAATCTTTGTATTTTAATCGAAATTAATTCTTCTCCAATTAATATTTACAAGCGGTAAAATTATGCTATTTATCTTTTATTTTTAGAGACAGTTTATTCAAATATATTCCTTTGTAAATGAACGAAAACTTTGTTTTAAAGAAGTTGGCTCAAGGTCACACAGCCCACCAGCGGCCGAGCGGTAAAGTCGCTGAAGACTGGTAGTTCGGTCCGAGGTTCGAATCCCGCGAACGGGCTGGCTGCATGGGCGTTTTCGTTGTTTTCCCCATGTGTAACGTATATACGAGCCAGTTTCCCTTAGAAAGTCCTCCACGAAGGCATCCCTCCCCTTAGGCAGATAGCCCTCGAGGCTTTGCCATAATCACACACACACACACACACACAAGGTCACACATTTTAAAGATTTTTTAGTAATAAATTGGATAGAACCTTTTGTATTAAGTTTTTCTATAACTAATATTTAATATTTCTGTTACTCATTTGCATTATGTGGCTTGTAATAAATTCCTGCCATTTTAGCAGGGTTAACATATTATTTTGATTTACAGAAAATGTATGAAATTTTGCAACTTAAAATAAATTTTCACTCCAAACAAAAATTACCTAGTTTAATAATTCACGAGAATTAAATAATACAAGCTATAAAACGTTTGTGCTTGTTTAGCTGCATTAAACCATAACTATCTAAGTAAATAAATCTAATAACATAAAATATATCGCGTCATAAACGTTCAAATCCAAGTCAACAGAAATAATATATAGCACCTAGAAAATTTACCTTGTGTCAGAAGAATAGAGAGAAAATATTTTAAACCGTAAAACTTCGAAAATTTGTATTTTGTTTGAAACATGTAGCTGATTGATTCATTTATTATTGAACAAAGATATCATTTATTCAAAATACAGACACATATTGAAATAAATACAAACCGAAGCAAATAAAGAAAATAATAAGAGCGACACAAATTTTTAACAACTCACTGATAACGCAAAATAATGCTCAACATTTAGTTACTATAAGTCAGGTATATTTACGTAAACTAAAAGTAATACTCAACAACATTTAATCACGATAAGTTAGATATCATTGCACACATATATGACACCATACAAAATTAATTTGATAAGTATCCAAAACATTTTTAAAAATATAATAAAATTTACATTAATTTAAAAACTGTTATCACATAACACAACTAGTAATTCATGAAAATAATCTACAGGCAGTTTTCTTTTCAATAATATAGGAAAAATGAAGCTATACATCCTTAGAATTTTTTATATCTCATAAACAAGACAATAAATAAACAATAAATAAGATTTATAATTTTAAAAGAAATTATAATAATATATTTTTAGTTGATAGTTAAAAAATCAAAGCAGTTATCTCTGATAGAAATAACAATACAATGTCAGGATCTGATGGGACAGCAAAGTAATGTTAAGCAAATGATTAAAGTAACTGATTTTAGTTTAACAAAGATAACACTGACATGAAAAAAAACTAATTCTGTGTTTCTGCGCATTTAATAATTAATATTAAATTCACTTAATGTAAGTGATTAGGCTCTATTTTCTTTGAAAGAAACGCGATTAATATTTTCTCTGGGCAAATATTTCAGAACTCGCCTGGAAGAGATAGCTATGAATATGTTAAATTTAAAACATAAAAACTATTTGCAAATTCCAAGCTTTGTAATGTGTACTACATCAGCTCAACGAAACATTTGTCTTTTCCACTTGCGCTGTATTTACCATTAGCACGATAGAATTTAGCTTTCTCCGAAATTGAAATGTCACAATATTTTGTATCTAAAACCGTTTTTTCTCCACACAATTCAGCTGTGCTGGCATGTGAAAATTTTTGTTACCTTATTAAATGTTTTAAAGAAAGATATGGCAAAGCGTGCGCCACTGTTAACCGCACAACATGTGCCACTGTGCGCACGTGCTCTTTGGACTAGTCAGCATGTCTTGCCAGTGCTGAAGACCTTGATCAAATAAACAGTTGCCTCCCACTTGCGTCCTTCCCAAGATGCGTTTGCTTCCTAAGCCTTGAGATTTCTCACAAAGCGTCACGAGCATATCTACTTCTCCAATAGCCATCTGTGGCACGTGGATGTTGAATGTGTCATTGAATTCCACCTCAGGAGCTTTGCGTTTAGATGGAGTTTTCTTCGTTCGAACTAATTTCCGCCGGACATAGAGAGTGATCTTGATGTATATGGCTGAAAATAATTTTCCATAAATTAAAACATGTAGGTTAAATTACCACAAGACTTATAAATAGATGAGTTAAATAAACTAAAAGTTAAATAAACACGTATATATTTTTCTAGTTTGGGATTGGAGGGAAGGGATGATCGTCTAGCAATGTTGAAAGAGGTGCATGGAGAAAAACAAAGGCTGAGAGCCACTGGCTTAGACAGTTAGCTTAGGAGTGTTTTGCAGTAAATTAGTTAACTGAACCAGTTTATAAGGTTATTTTCTCCGGCCTTTCTGCCTGCCTTCGTGGTATAATGGTTAGCACGTCTTCATTGTGTAACGGTTAGCACACTCGGCGCATATTCGAGAGGTCCAGGTTCGAGTCCCGGCAAGGGCATTGCTCATTTTTCACGTCTCCTGCGCCAGAAAACACAAATGAATCTACAAAGTTTAGAATAAATGTTGCTAAAGAAAATCCATCGTCATCAGAGAAATGGTTGCCATAGGCAAATACGAATGTTTAAGTTCTTGCAAAACTTTTGACGTTAGAAACGTATAATATTTTTTCTAAAATTTTCACCGTTACATTTACCTTGATGCTAACTTACCTTTCATATCCAATCGATTCCACATGTATTTCCTATACAGAAAACATCATTAATCCAGGAGTTGCTTAATTTATTTCACGCGGGCGTCGCTGGCAACCAGTTTTCATAATACTGCCGATTAGCAAAGCATAATATCTGGAATTTACCTTTCAGATTTAATCTATATAATCTATATATTAATTAAATGATATGAAAGCAACAAACGTGCAAGTTGATAACTTAAATCTTTATCTTATCTTATAATAACATACTCAGTTGTTGCAAATTAAAATGCATTATTTTGTAATTTAATCCAATTCATGATTTTTACGAACATATGTAGCATTAATATTAGAAAAACGTTCCTAATGTCGTATGTTATGTGCACTCTGCACAAAAACAAATGGAACACTTTTATAGCTATTGGCCCAATACATGATATTTAACTTGTTAGACCGATAGATGAAATTTATTTTATATGTCTCTGAAGCGTGCCTTAGGATACATATATAACATCGCTCTAACATAGATATTTATATATAACATTTATATATAGATTTTTGGACGTAAAATTGGACTTTTTCTGAAATAACATATGATTTTTCATATTTTAATTTACGACGCCAGTTATGCTTAAATATTACATTTTGTAAAATTTGGTAAAAAAACGTACGGAGAAATTCACAAATTGATCTTAGAGCTCTTTTTCCAATTTATACCAAGAAGTGGCGAATTCGTAATCACTGGTGAAATTCGTAATTTATGATAACCTTCTTCCCTTTCTCTTTCATTGCGCAGGAGTGTAACAAAAAGTGCATCGTTATTCTTTCAAATAATTTTTATATTTTAAATCGTGGTTTTTATTTTTAGATCTGTAAACCACATTAGTATTATTATTGCCTAAAATAAAGATGCCAAATTTCAAAATGCGCCAATATGTAAATTGACTTTTATCTTAGGAAATTTTGAGCAAAAACTTTAATTTTTTGTAAATATGCTTAGAAGTATATTTACTAAGATAATGGTAAAACTTTTATAGATCATAATTAAAACATTTTTATTTCTTCGAAAAACATAAAAATTACAAAAAAAATAAATAAATAAAAATAAAAATACAAATTTAAAATTAAATTAGGAAACATCTGCTAATTTTATTTGAATTAAAATTAAATTTTATACTGTGAAGGGAGGAATCAATTCAGTTTAATAAAAAAGATTAATTAATAAATACATACCAAATTTAATTAACACTGAGCTAAAATGTTGGGGGCTAATTTTTTTTATTTTACAAAACGCACGGCATTTTGGTAAAACGGACAAACGGCATTTTGGTATAATTTGAGTCATAGAATCTAAATAGGGAAAAAATTGGTATGTCACTTCAGAAAATGTCCAAATTCCTATATTAGACCAATGCTAATATATAAATCTAATACATATCCTGAGTCGTGGTTTCGAAACGAAAATCACAAGTTAATTTCGTCAGTCGGCCCAGTAAAACGGCAGAAAGCAATTTCTTTCTGCAAATGCTTAATGCTGAGTGTTAATGCATTGTAATTTAATGCATACAGAACATAAACACAAATAAATAATCAAATACTCGAAAGCTAAGAAATATTATTCTAATATCGGTTCAAGTGTATATACTCGTATATAAACGGTACAAAGAGAAAATCGAAACTGATCCTAGTTAGCGTATGTAAAGGCTTAAAATATGATGCAAGTGAAAATATTCAAAAATGAATAAAAAAGAAGACAAAATTCTGAATTTCTAAAATCAGAAATAGATGTTTTTAAAGGGTTATGTTTATTTATAAAGATAAATGGAATCTGAAACTGCTGAAGTCTGGCAAACACTTGATGAACGACATTGTCGAAAGTAAAAACACCAAATGATAAAGTACTACCGTTGTTACATAAATTTTTTCCTTATCCCGAAGCGAAAGCATTTTCTTCTTACTTCCTTTTTCTTATTTTTAAACATACCGCGTATAAATAAACTTCGTCTGAGGATTTTGATAAATCTAAATGTTATGGTTATAAATATAACGTTGGACAACAAATTCAAATAAAAGTCTGAAAATAATGTTTCATGATATCATATAAACAGGTGAGGAGAGCTTAGAATAAAGTATACTTTTAAAACATCGTTTGAATAAATGATAATCACTTAGAACACGCTTCTAGGACGCAAATTTAATTGTTACGATATTTGTACAGCTTTACATTTGTACAGCTTTTCTGTACAGATTATTATTTTATTCATTTTCATAAATTTTTAAATAAACACTTATATATTAATTTTGCTATAAATACGAGAAAATTACTGATTTATATTTGTTTCCGAATTCATTTCTAAAGCTCATTTAAAAAAAAATCTTTGAAATCCTTTCCCATTTCCCTTTGTTAAGTTTAGGATTGTGTATCCATAGATCGCCAATAAATGGCGGTAGTGTTTGTTTGTAAAAAGAAACTGTGATGTCAATTATGTATATGTATCAGTTCGTCTTTGGTGTTCGTAAATAAATGTTGTGTGGAAGAACGCTCCTCTGTTTATTACTTTAACTGCGATATAGTCTGATTTATTAGAGATTTACTCATATTTTGTTTATGGTGCCTGCAAACCGGGATTTTTACGAACCAGAAAAATCGACAGAGTAAATATTTCGAAAATGGAGGGCGTTCTTGAAAATTTGAAAAAGAAACGATCGGTTGTAAGACAATTAACTACGAAACTGATAACCGAAGTCGAATCGAATTTAGCAAATAATATTCCGCTAAATGAGAAAATTGAGATAATCGAGGATTTATATGAACAGTTAATTGAGAAAATCAATGAACTGAAAAGTTTAGATTCAGAAATAGAAACGAAAGTAACTTCGGAGGAGATTGAAAATGAAGTTACCTTAAGTCAAGAATACCAGGATAAAAACTGTTATATGGAGAGGAAGAATGCAACGATTTTGAAGAAGAATTCGGAATCTTCTAGAACAGTTCATCAGAACGAAACGGCTAATGTTGCACTTCCAGTTGAAACGAAAACAGTGAAGTTGCCACGTGTGCAAATCGGAACTTATTACGGAGATTCGTGTAAATGGTTAGACTTTTGGAACCAATTCGAAAATACAATTCATAATCATAGTGGATTGAGAAAAACTAAAAAATTTGCGTACCTAAAATCCTTACTTGGAGGTAATGCTTTAGCTGCCATTTCCGGTTTCGCTTTAAGTGACCAGAATTATGATTCCGCAGTAGAAATATTGAAAGAACGTTTTGGAAGACAAGATGTTGTTATCACTTCGCATATGAATAAATTATTATCCCTTGAACCAGTGGGGAACATTTCAAATGTTAAAGCACTGCGTAAGCTGTACGATGAATGCGAAGTCAACATTCGAAGTTTAGAATCGTTAAAGTTACTTCTGGAAGTTATGGAAATATTCTCTGTCCTATCATTTTGCAGAAATTTCCAGAGGAATTAAATTTGGAATTTAATCGAAGTCGAAATATGGAAGCAGGATTTGATATAAAGGAACTTATAGAATTCTTAAAAAAGGAAGTTAACTGTCGAGAAGCTGCAAGTTTAATGAATTCTGCTAAAACGAATCAGAAACCATACTTTCGTCAAAATGAACAACGCACGAAAGTTTATTCGAATTATAAACCGAAAGTTCCGACTGCTTCAGCTTTATCAACAATTGGATATAAATGTATATTTTGTGACAAAGAAGATCATATGAAATATAAATGTACTGAGGTGAACTCTGAAGAGAAACGAAACATTTTGAAACGTACAGGAAAATGTTTTTTGTGTTTTGGATGTAAACATTTAGCTATCAACTGTAAGAACACACAGTTTTCCTGCAAAAAGTGCCGCGGTAAACATCATGAAAGTGTGTGTGTAAATCCCACATCAGCTGTCTCCAGTGTAAAAAATAAGGAAACCGAAACATCGGCGGAAATTGTTCAAAATTCTTCTGCCAAAACTGTATCTAATATTATGCTTCAAACGGTGTATGCTGTGGCTGAGGGCAGAAATAAGAATTGTATTGTGAGAAGTCTTCTTGACGGCGGTAGCCAAATCTCTGCAATTCGAGAAGATTTATCAAGAAAATTACAATTGCCAGTGAAAGGAGAAACTGTTTTAAATCTACATACCTTAGGTGAAAAGAACGGGAATATTGGCGTCGAAAGTTGAACTTACGCTCCGGAATATTAATGACCCTGAAAAATCCATAAATCTCGAAGTCATTGAAGTACCAGTCATAACAAATGCCGATATACCGGTACCTGATGTAGAAATCAAATCCAAACTCCAAGCATTCAGCGTCACTTTGACAGACTGCGGCGGCGCCGATGGAATGAATCATATTTCCGTTTTAATCGGCGCGGACATCATGTGGAAAATAGCAAGCGAAGAAATAAAAAGGATAAAC